TCACTTTTTTTCGCTGTTTTTTGTCTCTTTGGGCTGATCTGTGTCGATCAAAATAAACAATTCTATTGGCTTCAGGTTACGTGATGGACACGGCTTTAGATGACCCCCCGATTTGGTAGGTGTTCACATGATCTGGTAGGTGTCCATAGGCTTACTCATATTTTAATCAGTCTAGATCTTGTGATCATAGATAAACAAAAATTAATCCTATGATGTGTGTATGATAAAATCACATGTTTATATATAAATACAAAAAACTTTTTGTTTACCAGAATAAGGACTTCGTTTAGTACACAGGTAAATTTTTGTTTACAAATACAAGCAGAAAAATTTTATTGAAATATAAGACAGTATGACCTAAGCACTTGTTTGTGCTTCTTTTAATATTATAGTAAAGAATGGAACTTGAGTACGATATTGCAAAATATTTGGCTGTAGTCAATTACCGTGATTTAACCCTGAAAGAAATCCTACGATATATGTTTTTTTGCAATGTAGATGCTGCGAACCAAGATGCTTCCTACCTTAAGAAGATCCTTTCCAGGTGCTTAAGGAATAAGACAAACGACTTAAGTGTGTACAAATTTGCCCGGCAAAAGGCCCAAACAATAGATGGTGATTTAAATTTAGACGACATAACCGGAATATTGAAAAGATTTCAAGTTAGTTTTTATCTTTTCCTTTTTTTCCTTTTTTAAAAAAATTTTAATTGATCGTATATTTTTTAGGAGGGAGTAGAGCAAGTATTAAACGCGGCAATCACCAAAATATTAGAAAGAATTCAAGTTAGGTTTTTTTTTATTTTTTTTTTTTTTCCTTTCTTTTAAAAAAAAAATTTTAATTATATTTTTAAGCAGATGGAGGAAGATCTAAATCTGAAAAGTAACCAAAATGAACAACAAAGTCAAGAGGAACCACAAGATCTTGAAGCACGTGAAGTACTTGAAGGCTCTCAGGACATTCAATGTAATAATAAAGCTCATTCAAGACTTTTCAACTTTGCTTACCCAAAGAATAAACTGGGACATAAAAATAAATGTCGCGACATGTATTTTGAGGCTTATTCGACGGTTCTACGTGCACGATCATCATTTTTTAGAGAAATCTTATGCAGTAGCAGAGTCCAATATGAAATATACATACCAGATATTTCTCCAAACGCATTCGAAATATTATTAAAGTAAGTAATGTATAATGTATATTTTTTTTTCAACTAAAATTTACTAAAAATGTTAATTAACTTGTTTATTTTTTAAAATAGGTACATGTATTGTGGAAGCATTTCGCTGAGTAACATTCAGCCACTAGAAATTTTTGAGCTCCAATTTACTGCTATCAAATTGGATTTAAAGGAAGTAATTGACTACCTCAACAGTAATATTACATTTACACCCTAAACGCTTTTCGGACTATCATTTAATTGTGGAGTTTTTTGCCAACAAATTGTATAGATGCTTTTCGGATTATCATTGAATGTGGGGTTTTTTTTCTAACAAATTGTATAGATGCTTTTCGGATAATAATTTGAATGTGGTTTTTTTGCCAACAAATTGTATAGAACTGAATAGATTAATAAAGCTAAAATTGCAAATTTTAAATATAAAATATTGATAAAGTCATTCTATTCCCAGTAATTCAGTGTATTTTATATTATTTGTATTGGATATTCATATGGTTTAGCATGAAGATCCCTAATTTTATGGATATATGGAATTTGGTTTTTTTTTAATTTGTTGTACGCAGGGATGGTAGTCATTTGTCATTTCAAGGCCCAAATGACTTTAGAAGGTCATTTAACATATGGAATCTTTGCTAGGAAAATGACCCTCCGAAGGTATGTTGATTTTGTGAATAAAAATTAAATTTGCCAGCCATATAGTATCCAATTTGAATAACCCTTTTTTATTTTGTAGATTTTATTGAAATTTACAAAATAAAAAAGGTTTATTCAAATTAGATACTATATGGCTGGCAAATTTAATTTTTATTCACAAAATCAACATAACCTCCGCATCTTACGTTTATATGAAAAAATTTTGGATTTTTTCGTGTAATTATACATAAAATCGCATAAAAATTCGCGGTTTCGTGATGATCTATGATAAAATTTCATTGGCCAAAGCAAGCCGCAGATCGTTACGCGTTTTTCGATTAAAAAATTAAATTTTGATGTTAGGGTAGGGGTAAGCATAAGTATGAAAGTAGAAAGGGCAGGATATATAGCAAAATTTTGCAAGAAATTTTTTTTGCTAAGACGCAGAAAGTGGTTTTGTAATTGAAATTTGAGTTATGGACGATTTTTTAAAAAAAGCCGGCAGTTTGTTTTGTTTTCACGTTAGGTTTAATATTACTGTCCACGAACATTTTATGCGGTTGTTATGTATAATGTTAAATGTAATATGCGAAAGCAAATTAATTAAAAGGTAACCAGTTAACATGAAATTTTCAAAATACACGCAATTTATTATCACGAACAACTTTACTTAAGACATAAATATTAATCGATTTTAATTTTAATATATAGCTACGATTATCGATAACTTTTTATATGAGTAATTCAACAATAAAATCACTTTATATGCAAATGACCCAAATGACCTGGTCATTATTTGATGACTTTTGGTCATTTAAAATGACCAGGTCATTTACCATTCCTGGTTGTACGAGAAATAAAATGTAGATGTTTTATTTAGAACTTTAATATTCGTCAAAAATAAATGAATAGAAAGGACACAATTACCCAAGTGATTCTATTTGATTTAAAAACATTCAACAGCATAATCTCGGGTGGCGTTACTTGAATGTGTGCCATGTTTGTGGCGCAGCAGCAATTCTATAATATTCATTTATGTTAAAAATGCCCAACGAAGAATTTTAATTAGAACACCAAAAGTGGTTACTGATGTAGAATTTCGAGAAATAAGCGATTTTTACGTTGCACCTGATCTTGAAAACTGATTCGTAGTTCAGTAAATCTGCGCCACAAACCTAGCACATTCAAGGGGTGCTCTCGGATGTTCAATAAGAACTTATTTCTATTTTATTTTAAAGAGCATACAATCCCTTAAATATGCATTATCCGTTAAGTTATATCAGAATTCACATATTTTATAATAGAATAATATCTGTTTGTAGTTGAGCTGTATAAGGGGAATAACAGTTCAAATATTAACATCAGAATGGATCCATGAAGATATAATACGTGTATATTACTGATGGTCTTCGGATTATTACTAGTGATGTGCAAATTCCAATTTTTTTAAATTTTCATGCGCATGGGAATTTTTAAGAATTTTCTTATAAGTTTTCAGAATGTTTCGGAATCTATTCAAAATTTCGGCTCGCATTATAGTGGCTTCTTAACATTAAGATATATAAAAACCATATGTATATATAATTTTGAATTTTATTATTTGATTTTGATAATCCGAAAATTGATAATCTGTGTTCTAACAGAGATTCATGGGTACTTAAAATTGAGGAATCCAAGTTTACAGATTAGCAAAGAGTTTGGATTCAGGAAACTCCAAATGAAATACCTACAGGAAGCATGCCTAGAACGTGAGTTATTATTTAACTGAATTTGTCATTTAAATCATTTAAATTTGTAATTATTGCAACTTTACCTCTTATCATTAAATGATATAAAGTCTTGAAGTTATTTTTCGTCATGAAATGGTTGAAGGTGCAAAACCTACATAGTTTAACAAGGAGCTAAAGAATGAATAATATATGCATAAATAAATTAAAAGAGCCGTCAACTATCAATAAGAGTAGCACACTTACATAGAGAGTATGAAAACCAAAAACTAACTATAGAATAACTATAGAATATAACATGTAATCATACGTGTTCTATGTATATTCTATATTTATATATTGTAAAAACTTTGTCAAATAACCTATATTAAGAAAAAATATTAAAAAAACTAACTGTCAATATTGTTGTTTGAATTGCTATTTTTTAAGTCTTTTTTAAAAAACTTAACATTTATTAGCCAAGATACAAATGACCTTACTGATTGCTGAATTATCTTAACCTATAAGACAAAAAGTGCATCTTATTGCTAACTTCTAGATTAATTAATCGTTCTCTGAATTAATTTGATATGCTAGTGTATAAAAGGTAGTTTCCGAATTTATATATCACATTCTTTGATAATTCATTTTTATGGCTGCTAATTCAATAATATAATATAATATGTAATAATACATTTAGCAATTGACCAATTAGAATTAAAGCCGGTGTTACTATCGAAAGTTGGGAGAGCGTCAGCAAGTGGCCGAGTCTAGATCAGCGATAGTGAACGAAAAGGGATATCGGGTAGAATGTAGCGATAAAATAGAACGTGAAAGGTACAACGATAGGTGACTGTTTAGTATTTTAGGTATTGATTATGTAAGCTCACGGACATCAATGTCCTCGAGTGTATGTGACGTAGTATTGTAATAATAATTATAAGTTCCAATAAATAAATAAATATGATCGTGAAGATGTATTCACGATATGGGTACCGGGATATATAATATTAGCAACACCGTGAAGATGTATTCACGATAATACAATAATGCAAGGGAAAATACAATATAAAACTGTTTATTCAAATATCAGGGAGATCGAAGTCTGAGAAAACTTTATTCAAGCAAATATCGGGTCTTTAAATACATTCACGAATCGTACAAACTATTTACTCAATGTCACTATCGGTATTTCCTTTCCCCGTGGATTTATCCTTTTCAACGCCGATTCCTTGATCCCTCAATGATGCTAAACGCCTGAGATAAATAACAACGACGCCTTGCCTCAATGAACTTATTGAAACTATTCCCATAACAAGATTCGACTTCTTGACGCCTTCAACAAACACGCATCATGTTTTACCTTAAACCCATCACAACATCTTACACTGTAACACGTACAATGTGTCGTTTGACTAATAGGGAAATCGATAGTCAAACCAATTAGGAAATACCGTGAATTAATCTATTACGGGCTAAAAATGGAATAGTACGGATCTTCGCTTAAACATTTACCGGGGTACAGCGATCTCACTATAATAATACAACGATAATCATAAGATAAACTAACTAATTATGGAATAACTATAATACGGATATAGGGATAACAGGAAAGTAATAATAACAATAATAATATTATGCGATAAGGCTATTAAGTAACAGAGATAAGCTAATAATAAGAATAACAGGAATAATCATAACAATAAACACAAAAAAGAAAAAGCAGGCGCCGGAATCTTCTACACGGTCGGGGCGCGGAAATTAAAATTTTTCAATAGTAACACCGGCTATATTAATATTAATCCTACTCGAGGAAACATAGTAGACAATCTTCATTGTAGTACAGTACATGTTTCTAAACCAAATTTGGTACGTATAAAATATAAAATTGTCCTAATGCTTACTGTTAAACAAATAGAAAAATATTATGTAGTAGTAAAATTAAAAAAATTTGATATATGTAACTAAATTACGATTGTTCAATGTCACAATATACTGTCATTTAAACATTAAAAACAACACAATAAACTAGAAACAAATCTAGAAATTATATATGCAAAGTTACCCAAAAATCTAAAAGCGGTTAGTCCAGTGACAGACCAGAAAATAAATATCACATAAGCTTTAAATCTTGAATCTTGATTTACTTCATGTACCCTTTCATGAGGTATTTCATGTGTTCCTTCATGAGGTATTTCTTCATGAGGTGTTTCTCTATACATAATTTGCTCCAAAATATCACCTCTGATAGCAATTATTAATAAAGCATTGGTAAAAATCCATAAAAACAAAACCAATGTTCGAAAAGCTTTTTGAGAATCTTCTTGTTTGTCTTTTCTGCTCTTTCGCTTTACCTCATACTCTTTTCTACGTATTTCATTATAAGCTTCATTATGTGCTCGTCTAACAATATTCTCATCAGGGACTGTAACTTGTGCTTTAATAATTCCCGTTTCATCTTGCACAAAAATGGCATTATTTGCGCGAACTGCAGGACCTTTAGTTCCCCAACTATAAATCACATAAGTTAAAATAAATTAAAAACAAATTAAAAATAAATTAGAATTTAAAAAATTATTAAAAAAAATAAACTATAATTTAAACATTATTAAAAAAAAAAAAAAAAAGATAAATGAACAATGACTTTACCTGACATCGTGAATATTGCAGAAAGCATAAACATTTAAAATATTAATGTAAAATGGTATTAACAAAGTATATTGTATAATACAAGTAAACATATGCCAAGGATCAAGCATCATAATACTTGAAATTAAATATATGCCATATGTGGCAATTAAGGAAATGATAATACTAGCAAAGTAGAAGTTCTCAAATAAAATGTATAAACTAAAACTATCAGGTTTATTTTCTCGAATGGCAATAACTGTGAGCCAAACACCTGTAAACATCAAATAAGCCATGATAATACTAAATAATACCGCTGAAATCGTATGGATCCATTTAGAACTATCAATAATTTCATAAAAAATATATATATTAAAAAAAGTGTGCATATAAATTTTGATTAATAGTTAGTGAATTAGTGATATAAAATAATAATCACCCTTGTGGTCTATTACCCATGGAAATGATGAATTGTATGATAATTAATCCATAATAAATATAATCCAGAGCCATAAATATATATTTGGTAATTGATGTAACTGAGGATATAATGGAAGGCCAAATAATAATTAAATACGGTACAGAACTATTATTCAAAGTCATAATATAGTATATAATATATTGTATATACAGTAGTAGGTAACTTACTATTTTCATAATCCGCTCGGTTTTTGGCATCATTTTGAAAAGTATAACTTAAAATATAAAAGATCAAGTAACAATTTCCCTAAAAATAATAAAATCAATTATAAGCAGAATATAAACAGAATATAAACAAAGAAAATAAAAGTTATAAAAAAAAAGTTACCAAGGCAAACCATGAAAAAAGAAGATTAATTGCTTGGTAAATCATCTCAATACAAAATAAGAGAATACGAAAGTAGGAATGATCACTTCTAAAAATGTAATAAAAGTGCGTAATAGCATAAAAACTAGCAAAGAAAGTTCCATTTAACCAACGCCTTCGTTGGCTGATTAATTCGGGTAGATCTTCAGGTATGTCCGTTTCAGCTTGAGAATACTTTATGTAGCGCAAAAGCCAGGAACAATGACGTTTTGTAACCAATTCAAAGCAAAGAATACGATCTTCAGCAAGATACATATTTGCAGTGAGGATACTTTCAACAGGAGCATTTTCGTTTTCATTGTCTTTTTCAAATTTGAAATAAGATGCAAGAGGTCCTTCTTCACGTTGTTCTTCGCCACTTTTAGTATTTTGAAGGGCAACATATCTATAAGCGGAGAAAGCACCTGGTAAAACGGTAACATAACCAAATACAGACTCAAATGGTTTATCCAAAATATTGGACATTTTATATTCAAAATTTTGGGCACCCACAATTGGGTTTAATAACTTAATGCATCCTTTGCCTTTCGTGGCGACTATTTCTCCGCAAACGCCTGCAACAGAGGGATTATGGAATGCTCTCCACAAATAATAAATAGATCTATCCCCTTTAAGAAGTTTAAATAGCAACAAGCCAAAAAGAATATATACAATATATATGCTATTAGCAAGATATAAATATTTACTTTCTCAATAGAGAATCATAATGACAATAGTGATTGTCTAACCTGGTTTAGTACCGACATCAACCAGAACACATATTTCAGGATCGAGAACTGAACCAAAGGCATTAAAGAACCAACGATGAGAATTGATTTTTTTCTTATTTTCTTCTTTAAGGCAAAAGAGAATTTGAACAGGTACGATTCCATCATTTGCAGTTTTTATGTTCATAGAAGGATCAATTGCAATCTGAGTCGTATGCTCAAATATATGTGCACTAACAGCTTTATCATTTACACTAGTTTGCATAATGCCATCTTGATAAACACCAAGGACTGCTAGATAAGCTAAAACACGTTGACTGACATTCCTACGACCATCAGCAATTATGCATACTACAACCTCTTTCCATGTGTTTTCCTTATTCTTGTTGATTTTAAAACAAGTTATTAATAAATTCAAAGGAATTACATATTACAATATAATGAGTGTTATGATAAAAAAAATATCTACCCGTTTAGAACAAATATAATTAATATTTTTTGTGATTCCATAAAGAGTGCGAGATAATAAAACTTCATTTTCCTATTACAATATTAACAAAGAACAAATTGGAAATTTTTATTGAGAGATTAATATTGCATTTATTCTATAAAGAATTAATTATTTCATACGTTATACATGGTTATTGCAATAAATAGTTTTATCTGTCCTGGAGGTTGACGAAGCGTGTATCCTCTGTCCTTGAAATCATCTGGATCACACGTGCAGGCGGTATACCTTATACTTGTAAATTCTGGTTTATCATCGTAAGGAACACCTGAAAACAATTCACGAACAGGTACAGGACAATCTATCACCAAATTCCCTCTTGTTAATTCAATCGTCTTTGTAATGGTATTTTCGGTTTGTTCCTCAATGTTTTCTTCATAATTATTTATAGGTTCTTTTGGAGGCAATGGAGGTTGATAGTATGGATTTGATGCCATGGACGCAAGAAGACAGAAGAAATTATACAGATAATTTTGTATGGACGAATTTATTTTAGGAAATTCAAATAAATTTTATTCGACTTTTAAATCCTTTTATAATAAATAATAAGTCATTCAAAATTAACGTTAAGTGCAAATGATTTTTTTTTTTAATTTCAACAGGTTTTAAGCAAGTTACGCTTATAATGATAAATTGAACTATTCGGTTGAAAAAATATACTGCATTTTTAATAGACCATACGCGCGATGAATATAATAAAAAATTGATTTAAAGTACAAATATAAAAAAAATTCGTATAAAATTGACAACCCTAAACATCGATACCTAAAAGAGATTCATAATCCAATTGTAGATTGATGATTTCATAGCAGTCATTACAAATTTATATATTATATTGTAAATCAAATGGGTCAAATTAGGCATTTAAAACAATGCCACGAATTTTTTTAAAAACATATGGAATTAAAATTCCGTAATTTAGGAAAATTGTTTATTGAACTAAATATAGTACTTTGTTTAATTCCCTAAGGAAGTTAATTAATAATTTATAGCAACTTCAGACTTGCCAATTTTGATTTTATGAAGAGTAAGAATCTTGAAGGCAATAAGAATCATTTGGTGTTGGTCATAAAAAAACTTTATCGATCTAATTATACTATCGATATTACACGTACATATGGTAGAAAACCAGACTCAATCATATAAAATTTATATTATCGAAGTCTGGTTTCCCTTGGTGTCATTCATATCCTTCACCCAATAATTGTCTAAATCAGGAATAAACTTAAATTACACTTTTGATAAAACAAGAATTACATTTGAAACTTTCATTTAATACAGTCATGTGATACAAGATTTGAGAATGGCAATTTTGGATTTGATGTGAAATTACTAAATTAAATCGTTGATATATACTAGAACATATGAGTGCTGCAGAGCGAAAAGCTGGAAGTGAATATTTAAGTTTTCACTATGGCGAGGCGAGTTTAGCGATGAGCCTAATTTGCATTTCTATATAAAGTATAAAGGTGTTACATACTATCGAAACGACTAGAAAACTGATCGTACGCATGATTAATTACGTAACATCAGAATTCATCAGGGGTTAAACTCGCCATAGTGACAACTTAAATATTCACTTCCAGCTTTTCGCTCTGTAGCACTCATATTGGTCTTGTGTGGTTACAGTGTTTTTTTTTAGTATAATTAGCACACTTTGAATTATCAGAAATTACGTTAAGAACTTAATACTTGCAGATATAGCTTGCAGATATAATATTGATTACAACCTTATAAGAATGAGGTTTCAAAATTAAAATCAGAAAACCATAACTATTAATTGATTTTTCCAATTTATAGCTCAACACAGAGCACAAAACCTATTGTAAAATGCCAGTGATTTCCGTCTACGTAAAACAATTTCTGCCTCAATTTTTCAACAAACGACAAATTACCGTCATTTATAATAATGACCTCCGACTATGGTTTTGTTACGCAACAAAGTTTCAAAATTAAACTTTCGCTTGTGCAACATATATAATTTGTAGTATAACCATTATACTTTTATATACTTCTGCATATAACAATTTAATAGTTTATGCGAAGTATAAAGCATACCTTAATTAGTCTTTAAATAGTATATAGCTTATTTAGAGTCTATTCATAGATATATATATAGAACGTTATGTATTTTAGTTAGTTAGTTTTAGTTCTTTAGTTTTTTGGTAGTTGGTCTTTTGGTGAGTTCTAGGAATTTAGGGATTTAGTAGATTTGTATTTTGGGTTTTAGTGCGTTGGGAACGTACTAGGTTGGTTAGTTTGGGAAGGATATTTTGTTCTGTTAGTGTCTGGGACACAATAAAGGATATTGGTTTAGTACTTTGGATACTTGGAAAGAGACAATAGATACTTACTTTCGTCCCTTTAATGTTGACGTCCCTGAGTTAAATCAATAACGATATAACAAAGTCTCTCCCATTGGATGTCACAGTTTCTAAGTTCAGGTTAGGAAAAAACACTTTCGGAAAAAAATCACATTAGATCACCAGGAAATTTTGTGCATTGGTTCAACATAGTAAAAATACAGTCGTCCCTCCATGTCGTCATCTACCATATAATCACATCATATGTAGTCACATTTATATTTAGGTCAAACTAGAGGTGCAAGCCGTAACTAGTTACAGTATAACTTTAGCTAGTTACGGCTTAAGCTGTAACATCAATTGGGACGATTCGCCCGCACCTCTAGATTTACTTTATAAGAAAAAGACCGAAAAATTTACTGTGTGCCAACTGTGTGATTGTGTGGAAAGACGACTGTATTTGAAAATTTCTATTTATTTCTTGTTGATTTTGAGTATTAAGTTTTCAGTCCATAAAACAAACATATTTACCATCATTAAATGATTTCAAATTTGGATATTAGATTATCAATTCTGCAATAGAAACAGATATGCTTAATTTATTAGTTCATTTACGTGACGGACGCCCATTTACATTATATATATTATTTACATTGTATATATTTTATTTTAGACATTCCATATACATTATAGGTTATATTAAATTTTTTGTTTGAAATTCTAGAAATTGGCAAAAGAAAATCAATTCATTTATACAATTTTGAATCCAACAATGCATTAACTACATTTGTCTATACAATAGTGTGAGTCATAATATATTACGTAGCTTTGGATTAAGCTTTGCTAGATTTATCGGCAAGCAACACATTCTCCTAAAAAGAGAATGTCCAATGAGAAGTGCAAAACGTGCGAAAGAAAAGGTGAAAAATCCGAATATCGATCTTAAATCACTAATTAAAAGTGACAACCAAAACTTTACATATTTCAATAACCTCTAATTTTTAACTTCTTAACCACAACTTTCTACGTATCTTCACACACACATGATTCTGTTTTTAAGAGTTTGTGATATTTCTTTATTTGGTATATATTAACAGCATTCTCGCTATTTATTGGTATATGCATCATATCGATATGCAAAAGCATATATTTAGACTTGTCATTTATTCGCAAGATTACGCAATTAGCAAAAGAAATACTTACAACGCTCTGATAGCGCTTATCTAACTTATTGCTTCACTTGACTCTGGCGTTTTTTTTCAAATGCGCCAATTTCCTAATACGTTCATAAAATGAATGCATTTTAATCTGAAGAAAAGGTTGTCCTGGTGATCGATCAGGGATTGGAACCTCTTAAAATTCTTCTATTTACGTACCGTTCTTGATAGAGTCCTAAAAAACTGTTATTATCAAAGCATAAAGCTACTGCGTAAAATTTAGCTGCCTCATTGTTGGAATAGTTTTCAGCACAAATACTACATAGTTATTGGATGCGAGGCAGTAAGTAACTGAAGTTATGCTGCCATATCTTTGTAAATCATCTGAAATTGAAGTCTGAGCGTTAAAATATGATAATCGAATTAGAAATTTAGATTCAACTTCTTATGTTGCGCTCAACTTTTTTCGTAACGTTGCATATCGATATTAGATAATCTAAGAATTATTTTATAAATATACTTTATATTAACATATATAGTTTTATTTGACAACTTAAAGATATTCATTTGAATTCTACAAGCTTGTAAAATTATATAAATATTACCATTTGTATAAACATGCGTTCTCTTTAGAATCTAAGAATGAAATCCTTAATGAATTCTACTTTATTCATATTTATTTTTGTATGTATGATTTTTGGGATAAATAGTTTTACTCCCGAAGGTAGAGGTGGTCATGTAGCCGCGATAGTTAAAGATAATATTTATTTTATGGGAGGTTCTCGTAAAATTTCAGATGAAAATGAAATAAAAAAAAAGTTTCCAACAAGAGGTTATAATTTATCTGATGAAGTTTTTTCCTTGGACCTTACTTCATCATTCTCTACAACTAACCCTCCATTTATTGATCTTTCCGGCATTTCACGAATGATATATGGAAGTACAAAAGGTTAGTTATTAAATTTACATGTTTAATCAAGTGATAGAACTTATTTTATACATTATTTAATATATTCATTAGGAACTGTAGTGTCAGGTGGAGCTAGCAAAGGTGACGTGTACCTCGTTGGAGGTACATTACAAAACCTTACACTCCTTAATCAAATAGACAAACTCTTTAATCAAATGGACAATAATGCAACGACCCAATCATTAATGTTACCCGAATTAATTAAAACTTGGAATGTAACTGATAGTGAAATGAGAGAATTAAATATTTTTATTTACCGCCCAGCTACACAATCTTGGACGATTCCTTATATTAGAGGAGGTCCATCAATTAGACGTAGATCAACTTCAACGGTAATAAATCAGGATGGAAAGATATATATGTTTGGAGGAAGAGCTGAAATAGATACTGGATCACCTACCTTGATTAATTTTAATGATATCTATCTTTATGATACCATTACGCCAAGATGGACTAAAATTAATGCAAGCAATGTCCCTTCTGCTCGAAGTCAAAGTACTGCGACGTTACTTCCAGATGGTAGAATTCTCTATATTGGAGGTGTTTTTTACGATCAAACTGGAAATGCAACTCTAATTGATATGAACAAAGTAATTATTTTTATTAAATTTCAGAATGATGCTTGTTCATAATATCCATATTATTTTTATTAACTTACACTAATTTTTATATAAATAAAATTCTATTATAGATCGTAGTATTCGATACAAATTCTTTAACCTGGTCATCCAAAGTATGTATCTTTCTTTTAGGGTTATAATTATATCTTACCATTATTTCTTACTAAAATATATATATATTTTTTTAGCAAGCAACAGGGACTTCTATTCAGGCTCGAGTAGGCCATACGGCGACCTTAACACCAGATAATAAAATCATTATTATAGGCGGTACCACAAGTAAATATTCATAAAGTCTACTTCCTTTCAAATATATTTAGTACTAAACAAATATTTGCTTATAGGCCTTGCATATGATGCAACTACAGCACATCCGGTTTTTATAATGTTAGATATTGCACCCGAGCCTTATGAATATTCAGAATTAAAAGATTCTGGAATTCGACCGCCTCCATTAGCATTTCATACTGCAAATTTATATAAGAATTATATGATTGTTGCCTTCGGTGATTATCTTCTAATTATAATAATATTGTTATTATTATTACTATTATAATCTATAAATAAAACTAAATTTACCTTTTTTCCTTGAAAAATAATGAAGGTAATATCACTAATGATAGATCTGGGTCTTTTGAAACTAATCCTTCTATTTATTTATTGGGTGTGCCGTGCCTAGAATGGACTGCCACTTTTACACCCAACTACTCCTGTCCACCTATACTAAACGTTCCTTTGATTATTGGTCTGACCGCTGCTTTATATGTAGTGTTTATTGCAACTACAGTAACTGTTATAAAAATTACCCGTAAACCACTACGAGATAATAAGTTGATGATTCTTGTTAATTTCTTTACAGCGTTGATCGCAGCTATAATCATAGACACAATACTTGTCTTTATAAATCCACCTCAACCGATTATCATTTTGATTGTTACTGTCTCTATTGTTTTTTTTATCGTAGTTATAATAGCTGAATACAGATTTTTACGCCAAGGAAGGTGGTGTTAATAATGAAAAAAATCAATAATTAGTTATTGTCACGACTGAAGTCGGAAATGGCTAAAACGGCTGAAGTTGGAAAGTTTAAATATTTTAATATGAATTAAGTGTATTTTAGCTGAAGCTTGAAAGTTTAAATATTTTAATATGAATTAAGTGTATTTTATTGGCTTTTTTTTGGTTTATACGTAGTTAATATTTAGGGTTAGTTTCGATAATAAAATGTATAAGCGGATTTTGTTAGGGTTTATATATTATTTTTAAGTCGAATTTCCGGCTACAGTATTAATAGTTAATAAATTTTTGGCATTAAATAAATGCAAGTATATTAATAAGTATCGGTATACAATACTGGGCAAAATTTGTCGAATAACGGCAAGCGGGTTTTCATTGTGATTGGCCAATTTTTGTAGATCATCCCGTGATATTGTAATGTTCTAAACCTTAACTAAATTGTCACAAACAGTGTTAGTCATTCTTATAAATCCAATAAATTGAATTGGAATTGGACTTATACGTTCAGATTGGAATCTATAAGTCCAGTGAAACAAAGTTGGTCCAATTGTCCAACACTGGTCACGAATAAAAAAATCGATATGTATAAAAATAACTATCTATGACGAAATTAATACCAGTAAATTATAGTTATTGCACGGGTCTTATGTGACAACCCGTGCTTTTTTCATTTACTTATTGGCACGGGATTGTTACGTCAGACGCCGTGCAATAAGATAGTTATTGTATGGGTATGAATAACCCAGTTACATACACGGGTTCATATTTAAATCCCGTGCCTTCGGCACGGAATATGAACCCGTGTGTAACTGGGTTATTCACTACATACCCATACAATAACTATAAATTATTCGGCATTTTCTATTTATCGAATTTTGCAAATACGAACTGTTATCCGGCATTTGAAATTTTATCATTTTTATGCACAAGTTATCCGAATTATAATATATTCGGACAACGTGCGTAACTCACGTGCATAAAAATGATAAAATTTCAAACCGGTCAACAGGTAGTACGCAAAATCCAATAATACATATAGGCGGATTGTGCTCATTTTGTGATATCTAAATATGATCACGTTGCAATAAAATGGGGTCTTTGCCTTGAAAATGACCTTACGGTACATGATACCGTAAGGTCATTTTCAAGGCAAAGACCCCAAATAGTCTGATTGTGATTATATATCGGTATTTGAAATCAATTTAGATAAGCTGAAATTAATATTATTACATCACTTATTTTAATGTAATCAATTTTAATATCACAAAATGAGCACAATCCGCCCATATGATAAATGCCGAATAACCCAGTTATTCAAGCACGAAGTACTCATAACTACAGTATAATAGTGTTCTAACTTTAGTAAAGTGTTATCGTGCTTTACTAGTATTAGAACACTATTGTACATTACTGTTATTTGCCATATGATTTGACTGGTTGAATTTTAAGCACCAAAGGTGCTTAAATTGACCAATCAAATAGCTTACAGCAAATAACTCAGTTATTATTATTTTTTTTTGATGTTAAGGTGACCACTTTGGGGTTTGGTATGTTTTATTAACTTTGGTTACAAATGCCAGGGCAACCACAGAGTTATTCCTGATTTTATTACATTAATGAAGGTACATTTTAGCCATACCTGCACCTTTTGAGTGCCTAATTTAAGTAGTCTACCTATTACTAGGTTCTACACTAAATACTATACCTGTAACCCACTATTACTTAAGTTATCCAATTAAACCCTTTGATCAACTTAGTGTTGTCAAATATTCTTCTCAAAGAAGAACTGTTACTAAGGCTCTTTAAGATTACTTTATTCTCGTAGTAAACCTGCTAGAGCCTTTCATATCTACAATCTGGCTGATCTAGTCTTTTAGTTGATATACACGAGTTAAGGCCTACCACTTGCGACCCAGTTTCTATAGTAAAAGTGTTCTCTAGTTGTTTTGTTCTTACCAGTTTTTTCATAATATTTTAACTAATTATAGCCTGATTTCTGCTACACAATCTACTTCTTGCTCTTATAGAATTCACTCAAACCCCAGTATTCCTTTTATGATAACCCAGTACCTTTCTTTTTCAGTATCCTTTAGCTGGTCTTACCAAATTACCAATTCAGATAGTTTGAAAGAGACACTAGTCTCTTGGTATCTGTATTGCAGATCTTTTTTCTCTGGCATTTTGGCGGCCTGGTTGGTGAAGTATCTCTCTCTAAATATCTGGTCCTTGTTCAATTATACTAGCCTCAGATGAAGCCTATTTCAGTAGTACTGTTAAAAGTCTTCATTACTTCTTTATTCAGAATTTGTCAAATGAGCATCTCATTATTATATCAGCTTTGTAGCTTTCTATGACCTGAAGGATTTATCAAGGATTTGTACTAACTAAATCAGCTTGCATACTTTTGTATAATTTCTTTATTATACAAATATCTTAGGATCTTCCAATTGTTATCTTGGTATAACTACAATTACAAAGTCTTGAGTTTTCCCAGCTATGATGATAGTTGCTGAATCTGTTTTTTTCTAAATTTAATTTTTACCCTCTGTGAGAATTAAACTAATACTTGACTGCTTGGAGGTGTAACAAATTCACTACTTCTCTAGATCACCACACTCTTTAAATAACTCAGTTATTTAGCACTTTGTGCTGAATAACTATTAATTATAATATGGATCTGACATAACAACACATGTTTCACTTTTTTTAAACAAACTATTTAATTATTTAACCTATTTTATTTATAATTACTTTTCTTTCTTCTTGTTCATAAAACTTCTAATATATTTGCACTTAGTTTTTTGTTCTAATATCAAACAAAAACCTTATATTAATGATCCAGAAGCCTAAAGTTAAGAAATCACTTATTTGTTATAAATACTAAAACATTTTGAAATTATAAATAAAGAGGAAAAAATATTGTAAATGAATTTGTTGTTTAGAAATAAGTAATATTTTTTTAAATTACAAAAAGGTTATTAGTTTCATATTCGAAATAATATTAGTTTTCACCTAGAAAATAAAAATTTTAAAAAGCTATTTGATCTTAATCAGCCAAATAAGAATTATAAAAAATCACTCAACCTAATATTAGACTTTATTTAATAAATAAAATTTTATAAAACTACCAGATATAATATTAGTTTTTCATTATATAAAACAAAATTATTTTTTTCTGCTGATCTTTCATACACAAAATCGCAAAAACAAAACATCAACAAAAATATATAATTATTAGTAAAAGCAAGACTTGCAGCATTAAGAAAAAAGAAAAAAACCTAAAATTAATATTCAGTCTTTTAAGAAACTAGAATAAGAAGAGTAAAAGTGGCAGAGATATAGAAGAAAATGTAAAAAATTGTTGATAATTTTTGCTCTTTGCAAGTTATTTGAGGAATTGGTCTTAACTTTGTAATGCAGATTAGTTTTGTTATACAAAATATACAACATATAATAAAGAGTAAACAAAGAAAATATAATAAAATCTACGTAATAAATAAAACAAAAACAATATACAAACACAACAACTAACTAATTATATACAGCAAAAAACAATAAAAGATTTTAGAAAAAAATCAATTATAGCAAAACAGGCAGAGATACAAATAGAGGTATTTTATAAAGCATTAAGACAGTATAAAGCAGGAAAATTAAATATATAGAATTTGTACTTAGAAAAAGAAACAATACAGATTATCAACAAGCAATATAGTAGAAAACTAACTTGGTGAAATATATTATATATAGAGAAATAAACAGAACTATAAGAAATCTATATATAATAGAAAAAGTAAGTTGTATAGTATATAATAAAGAAAGACAAGCTGTTGAATATATAAAGCCTAAACTAGAAATAGAATAGTAAAATAAATTAGTTAAACAAAGAAAATATTAACAAAGACAATATAATAAAACAGCATTATAATTACTAATACTATGCTTTAAAGAATCTGTTAAAATATTTGCAATAAAACAATATATAAAAAGAAAAAGAATTAATAAAGAAAATAGAAGATGCAAGTTTAACAGAAAGCAAAAATTCTAAAATAAAGACAACAAAAAGATAAAAAGAAGAATAAAACATCTAAACAAAAAAGTATCAGAAGAAATATCAAAGATCTTATAAAAAAAGAAACTTTAAACAAAATAGCAGAAAAATCAAAACCAAAAATCTTAATAACAATTTCAATAGAAAATGAATATCTCAACAATGTCCAAACTAGAAATCTGCAAAAAAATATATTTGAATAGATAATAGAAATTATATATTAAGCAAGTTTAGAAAGTATACAAAACAATATTAAAAACTGGAGAAAAAGAAAAATGAAATTATTAGTTGAATGGATTAGATAGACTAGAATCTAAACAAATACTTATACAAACAGAAGCAATCTTATATAAGATATAGAGACAAAAAAAGCAGTAAGAATTAAGAAATAAAAAAGAAAGATATCATATTTAGAATAGTAGAAAGAATTTTAGTAAAATTATTTAAAATCAAGAGATATATAATTTAATTTAAGAGAAGTTTTTTAGAAGAAAATTAGATCTATAGAGAAGAAGATAAAAAAAAATACTTGGTTTTAATAAAAAGAAAAGAAGACACAAATAAATTAACTAAAACTTAAAACTAGAAGAATTAAGATTAATGTTAAGAAGACTAGGAAGAGAAAAGACTTATAGAAAAATACTCTAAAAAAAGGCTTATTATTACAAAGTTGTAGTCTTCTTATTAAAATACAACCAAGTAACAAGCTTACTCAGTGCAGTAATTAACTTTACAAATGTATAGTTGTTTACTTAATTGATAATCCACAAGTCATATGAAGAATAATTTTACTGTAGTGTAATGTAATACAGATTATATATAAAAATTACTATAAACAAAAATGTAGTATATATTTAAAGAAAACTTTTTTTAATGAACAATTTATAAGGCAACTCTCCCTGACGATCACTTGGACTAACCGTTTATAACCAACTTAAGTTGAAAAATTCGAAGTCAGACATCTAAAACTATCCAAGTTTTTTCTTTCAGTCACTGTTGAC